GTGATGAATAATTAGCAATGCTAAGAATGGATTTCCATAGACTGAATTCTGTTGCCAAATGAGTTACATCATAAATAACGAACAGTGTGCGACAGTAATACAAATGTCAGTAGTAATTAGCGAGCTATAATATATTATATTATATTGCCAAAGAGTGCCATATCTTTGGAGCACAGTCAGTTAATTAGCTTGATTATATGACAATCAGTTGTTGAGATAACTTTCCCTATGGTTCTACATATCGGCTACAGTCCAGGCATAATTCTGCGCCTACATCGACTCTCAGCACCCTGCATCCTATTCATCATGCAGCCCTCTCTTCTTCTTATTGGAAAGATACAGACATGTCTCTGGCACAGCAACCGAGACAGGCTAGAGTCTAGACCTACATAAGCATTGTCTGAGCTAATCAGAGTTTATGTTCTTTTACAAATAAAACATAATTTTCTAAATATAAATTATAATTCTAGTAAAAATAATAGTTGGCAGTTGTTTCCACTGCCCTCTGTTTTGTCCTACTTGTCACCACAATTCCGTAGCACTTATATCAGGAGCCAAGCAGGGAACTAGCCACTTGCTATCCAAAACCTGTTTTCAGTGTTATACTCAGTATACCGTTACTGTGGCACGTAGTGTTACTAGCAGTAAACCTGGTGGACAGTTCCTATGCCCTCCAGGGTAAGGAGAGGCAGACATGCAAAGTATCCTACTGGGACCTGATACCTGTTAAAATGGAACCCAAGGGGGCTGCAGGAAAGACATCTCCACTTCCTCCCCATCACTAGACACAAAGAATGCTGCTTACTCACATTATGCCTCAGACAAAAATTTGCAGAAATGGTCGAAGCGACCTCTCACTTTTATCTGAAAACATGCCACGGTGTACTTTGGTTTCATTATTGTAATTGTTGAATAATTATGTGCGTTTGTGATTATATATACTTTACTGGGGATAATAAGCCAAACAAAGCATGAAAGCTCTACAACACATTTAGTGCAGACAATTTTTAATAACAGCTAAACTCTAATATTTTAAATAGTGAGAAATCAAATGTCCCCTATAATTATTATTTACGAGTAGTTCATCACCGATGGTTAAGAAAGCTATTATCATAATAAAAACACATTGTTATTAAATATAGGAACACAAAGTGGTCAGTGGAACATGCATTTTCTTACATTCACTAATTTCGTGCCTCTTTCAGTGAGCGACTGTTCGCAAAAAGTTCTTAGAAGATACACTGCAGATGGCCACCTCCCAGGCCCCCTGTGAGAGGGCTCCTCTCAACGCCCCTACCTTTGGCAGCTCACGATTGCAGGGGTCAGCAGGGAGGTCGGGCCCCCTAGAGTGATGGCCTGGTCGCGCTTCCGACCCCTGCGACCATGGTAGTTCCGCCACTGGTTGCAGCATACTCACTCATTCACTAAACAGTAATTTCAAAGCTCACAGAATGTAAAAACATTTGTAAAAAAACACCTAACCTAGACAAAAAGTTATGGTATATGCCATGACACTGTACCTAAATCAGGGTCGTCTTTAATGCTGGGCATATGGGCCCATTTACTGCTGGGGGTCTCAGCCAGCTGCCCAGTTTGCCCTCTGCCCGCAACAATTTCTATTGGGATTGCTGATCCCAAAATAGATTGTTGCGGGCAGTGGGCCCGCACACTAAATGGGCCCATTGGGCACTTAGGGTGCTGTGGCCTTTTAACAGCATGACCGAGTCCCTTGCTTTTCTGCAGCCGGCTGGGAGGAAGTGACGGCTGGTGTATCTGTGTGTCAGGTTGTGTATCTGTGTGTCTGTATGTGTGTCAGTGTGTGTGTCTGTGCATATATATATATGTAGTCAGTGTGTGTATCTCTGTATCTGCATGTGTGTCAGTGAGTGTATCTGTATGTTCTCATTGTGTGTATGTGTGTATCTATATGCAGTCAGTGTGTATCTGCATGTGTCAGTGTGTGTATCTGTGTGTCTGTGTATCTGCATGTGTGTCAGGTTGTGTATCTGTATGTGTGTCAGTGTGTGTATCTGTATGTTCTCATTGGGTGTATCTGTGTATCTATATGTAGTCAGTGTGTGTATCTGTGTCTCTCTGTATCTGCGTGTGTGTCACTGTTTGTATCTGTGTGCCTGTGTATCTGCATGTGTGTCAGTTTATGTACCTGTGTGTCTGTATGTATATCAGTGTGTGTTTATCTGTAAGTTTTAATTGTGTGTATCTGTGTATCTATATGTAGTCAGTGTGTATATCTTTGTATCTGCATGTGTGTCACTGTGTGTGTCTGTGTGTCTGCATGTGTGTCATTGTTCGAATCTGTGTGTCTGTGAACAGGGCTGGCGCCACCATTAAGTGAACTAGGCATTCGCCTAGGGCACAGGCCTGCTGGGGGCGCCTGCTGGGATGTTTCCTGGTGGACTGCCTGCCCCTGTCTGGGGCTGCAGCACTCGGCGAGCGGCTCTTGAGCCGCCCCCAGTGCCAGGTTGATCCTCAAGGCGTCTGAAGGTGGGGGCGCCAAATCTGGCCACCTCTGGGTGCCCCCAAAGCTGTATTAGGTAAGGCAGAGGAGGCACCTGCTTATAGCAGGTGCCTGCTCTGCCAAAAAATGGCAGTGACCTGTCCTGAGGAGAGGGGAACGGAGAAGCCAGACGGCGAGGGAGGCTGTTCTTGCAGCCTCTCACTCCTCCCTTGTGCACCGTCTGTGATGCAGGGAGCCGGAATATGATGTTATTTGGCCCCGGCATACTAAACAGCGGCTGGGAGGAGTGAGGAGCTGCCCCACACTGGGCCCCAGGGAGGTGAGTGTCAGTGAGTGTGTGTGTGTGTGTCTGTCAGTGAGTGAGTGTATGTATGTCAGTGAAATTATGACATACATACACTGTAAACATAACCCTGCATACACATAAATGCATGCTTGCATTCAAACGCCAACACCACATACAAACTCACCCCTACATTCACACACACTCCATAGAAAAAACATGCTTACATTCAAACACACAAACACTATTCGTTGCTAAATGTAACCCTGCAAGCATGGGACAACGGTAGAGCCCCAGCTGTCAAAGCATTGTTGGAGTTGTATGACAGATGGGGATCTACTGTTTGGCCACCCTTGCGATAGCAGTGTGACAAACGTTCCTTCTCACGTACGTTTGTCCAAATGGACAAGGAAGTAACACAGTAGTGCTCGTTGGGGTTTGGCAAACTACATATAAAACATAGGTAGATCCGAGCCCATGATCTGCGATTCTAGGTCCACCCAGCATCTTTCCCCTGGAGTTGTATGCCACATTACAATCTGGGCTAATTGGGCTGCAAAATAATACATAAGGAGATTTGGCAAACCCAAATTAGGCAGATACAACATATTCATAGCTAATCTGTGCCGTTTGTTGTGCCATATGAAGGTGTCAATGTGTTTCTGTATCGTATCTAAGTCTGATTTGGTTAACAGGAGGGGAAGCGCCTGAAACAGAAATAGAAGCCATGGGAGAACATTTATCTTCAAGCTATGGATGTGTCCTATCCAAGAGATTGGTCTGGATCCACAGGCCTCCAAATCCCTCTTAATTGTATGGAACAGGGATTGATAGATGGCCTTATGGAGGTTCTGACAACCCTTGGTAACGTTTATGCTCAGGCACTTAATTGAGTCCGTCAGGGAGAGTTGCGTGGAAGACAAGTACGGCCATTCAACCCTGTCGAATGCCTTCTCCGCATCCAAAGAGAGGAGCAGGCAAGGTGCTCGGGAACGCTCCATGTACCAAACCAGAACCACCCCACGTCTCCTATTTTCATATAATTGGCGTTCCAGTATGAATCCGACTTGATCTGGGTGGATCAACCTCTGCATCAAGGGCTTTAACCTGGTGGCCAACACTTTCGCCAGAATTTTAGCGTCCATGTTGATCAGTGAGATCGGTCTGTAGCTGCCCACTTCCATAGGGTCCTTCCCTTCCTTCGGCAGTTACACAATATTTGCTATGTCATCTCCCGGGACAGTGGCTCCCCCTCTCTCGCAGCGTTAAACATGGTGACCAACCTCGGCACCAACACCTCACTGAAAGTCTTATAATATGCTCCAGATAGGCCATCGGGGCCCGGAGCCGCTGTTGCCTCCAATATCTCTTCTGGGGTAAATTCCCGTCCGAGTATCGTCTTATCATGTACGGAGAGAGCAGGCAACTCCACCGACTGTAAGAATTGCTGTAGTTTCCTACTATACAAAGAAAGAGAAAAAGCTGTTCAGGAAGTTACTGTAGGACAGATTGGAGGGGGTAACCCTTCACAAAAGTTAAATGTAAGAAATTAGAGAACAAAATCTGTCCTAATAAATTGGGATACTAAATAAACTAAACAATAAAATCTAACATTTAATAGATACAATTAAAAAAGGTTTAGTAACCTTAGGTTCCTCCCCAAGGTGTCTACCCATGTGCTGAAAGCTAAGAGGAAGTAGGAGCTCCAAAAAGGACCCATGAAAACTAATTTAGAACCATAAAATTGTGGTGCAGGAGATAGCGGGCGAGGATGTGGGAGAGGGGGATAAAACATCTAGTCAATTACATTGACCTGGATTGACAGAACAATGGTTAGTCCCTAAAACTAGGAGGGAGGTAACCCAACAGTGATTGGGGGAAAACATTACGTCACCATAGAATTGTTACCAGTGGCCTGTGGGCATCGGTGTACCTTCTGGATTATTAAAGTGGGGTCTCATCATGCATTTGTTTCTCCAGATTTTTTTTCGTGTTGGTTTTGTATTTTTATTTGTGTTATTTTTTTTTTGTTGGTTGCTCATTTGTTGTTGGAATGTGTTGTCTAGGCAACTTGTCCCCTCTAACGCCAGCCTAATGCTGGTACCTCTTTCTATTAATTGTAACCTACAGGGCGCCCAGCCCATGATGGTATCACCCTGCCTCTGCCTAACCCATACCCCACCCAAACCAGGACAAAGACCCCCAAGGGCCACCCCTCAATAGTACCCTCACTCTGCTTTACAGCTTGCGATGCCCTTGCCGGTCTCCAGTCGATCTCGTCTCTTCCCCATCGCCATCCGCGCCACTCACCCACACTCTGGGCAATCTTGGAAGGGTGAAGGTCAGCATCAGCTGTGGGATTTCCAGACCTGGATCCTCAGTGTCAAGAGCCCTCCAGAATGCAGCAATGTCTCCACCTGGCTGCAGCACCACCATCCTCGATCCTCGGAAGGCTAGCAACTTGAACGGGTGCCACCAGGCAAACTGGATCTCCTTTGTCCGCAGGACATCAGCAATTGGCTTCCACATGCATCTCTTCTGCAGTGCGGAGGGAGCCAAGTCCTGGAACACCTGCAGCCACTTCCTGGCGTAAGCGGCCTCCGACCCCGGGCTATGACGTTGCGTGGAGCATTACCCTGGGCTCCTCTCGCTTTCAGCTCCCTGTGTGCGTGCTCGATAGCCCATTTGCCCTCCGGGATGTCCGGCAACAGGTGATGGAACATTTTGAGCAGTAAGCCCGACGCCTCAGGTAAGCACCGCACCCGCACATTGAATCCCTGGGATCTGTTGGATAAGTCTTCCAACAGACCCTCCACAGCCCGAAGATCGTCAGAGGAATCAACCATGGCATTATAGGCCTTTACCACACGCTCCACCTGAGCCTCCAAATCCGCCATGCGATTGCCGACCGCCTGAATCTCAGTCTTCAGGGCTTCCGTGCCCTTTGCAATCTCCTCGGCAAGGTAGGTTTTATCAGCATGCATTTGTAGAAGGACGCGTGCAGTGTCCTCTGAGCAGGACATTGAGGGGTCCGATGATGCCTCGTCCAGGTCCTCTACACGTGGGCTTCCCCTGTCGCCATCTCGGGTCTGCCTGGGGCCCTTACCCGTCCGGGCAAAAATCGAAGGCACCGACGCATCCCTGTGATAGCAGTGTGCCGCTTGCCTTCATGCCGCCAAAAGTCCTGCCAGACAAGGAGGGGGGTGAAATAGCAGGTTCATGCGGTTTACTAATGAGTTTAACAGGAGCTCATGGACTATACGACCACCTCGGTCGGAATCCAGACCACGCCCCCATTTAGTGTTTTTAAAATCCTAATATTGTTCCTTATTCTTTCTTTTATTTATTTTCAATATACTTGAAAATAGTTGTGTATTTAATCATTTGTGAATATTGTTTTAGTTATTTCTGATTTTATATATATGTGATCAAAAATATATATTTATTTTTTATATGAGTTTTTATGTCTTATATATAGTTACATAGTTACATAGCTGAAAAGAGACTTGCGTCCATCAAGTTCAGCCTTCCTCACATATGTTTTTGCTGTTGATCCAAAAGAAGGCAAAAAACCCAATCTGAAGCGCTTCCAATTTTGCAACAAACTAGGAAAAAATTCCATCTTGATCCCAAAATGGCACTCAGATATCTCCTTGGATCAAGCAGCTTTTACCCCACGTATTAGAAATTATATCCCTGTATGTTATGTTTTTGCAAGTATTATATAGAGTTACAATTGTATTGCCTTATCCTATGTATATATTCTACAAAGTATGTTAATCCTTTTGTATATCCTATAGTGTATGTCTAATCCACTTTTTATTTAATATGATTGAATGTGAACATACATAATAAGGCCTACAAAGATGTCAGTTTCAAATGTTCTGATTATTGACACTAACAGAACTACAAGTATGACTGATTCAGGACTTCCAGTACGATTGTGCACCAGAACTGATGTTCCAGAATGTCTGAAGTGCCAGTAAGAATAGACAATGCCAACATGCATACAAAAATGACAACTCAAGAAAATGTGAGTGTCCAGACATTTGGGATTTAAGTTCATACTGACTTGTACCTATTTACTGCACAATAGTTTTCTTATTTCTTGTTTTGTAGCCCTCTATGACATCAAAATGAGGATAGATGCATGTTTCATACGCTATTTCACCTTGTTTTCTTATGCTTGTTGTCTTATGTTTTCTTCTACTTTTATTAGGTGCAATTGTGTGATTGTTCCAATTGTGGTTTGCTCCAATTGTTTCATCTTGTACACTATAAATCTTTTCACATTGTTAGGTTGATAATTTACCTCTTGCAATTGCTTGTTTTGGTTATTGATAGTTTTTTACCTACTAATACAGGTGATACTCGAAAAATTTGAATATCGTGCAAAAGTTCATTTATTTCAGTAATGCAACGTAAAAGGGGAAACTAATATACGAGATAGACGCATTACATGCAAAGCAAGATAGTTCAAGCTGTGATTTGTCATAAGTGTGATGATTATGGCTTACAGCTCATGAAAACCCCAAATCCACAATCTCAGTAAATTAGAATATTGTGAAAATTTGCAATATTCTAGGCTCACAGTGTCCCACTCTAATCAGCTAAGTAAGCCATAAGACCTGCAAAGGGTTTCTGAGCCTTTAAATGGTCTCTCAGTCTGGTTCAGTAGGAATCACAATCATGGGGAAGACTGCTGACCTGACAGTTGTGCAGAAAACCATCAGTGACACCCTCCATAAGGAGGGAAAGCCTCAAAAGGTAGTTGCGAAGGAAGTTGGATGTTCCCAAAGTGCTGTATCAAAGCACATTAATAGAAAGTTATGTGGAAGGGAAAAGTATGGAAGAAAAAGGTGCACAAGCAGCAGGTATGACCGCAGCCTGGAGAGGATTGTCAGGAAAACGCCATTCAAAAGTGTTGGGGACTTTCACAAGGAGTGGACTGAGGCTGGAGTCAGTGCATCAAGAGCCACCACACACAGACGGATCCTGGACATGGGCTTCAGATGTCGTATTCCTCTTTTCAAGCCAATCCTGTACAACAAACAATGTCAGAAGCGTCTTACCTGGGCTAAAGAAAAACAGACCTGGTCTGTTGCTCAGTGGTCCTAAGTCCTCTTTTCTGATGAGAGCAACTTTTGCATCTCATTTGGAAACCAAGGACCCAGAATCTGGAGGAAGAATGGAGAGGCACACACTGCAAGATGCTTGAAGTCCAGTGTAAAGTTTCCACAGTCTGTGTTGATTTGGGGAGCCATGTCATCTGTTGGTGATGGTCCACTGTGCTTCATTAAGTGCACGGTCAACACAGCCCTCTACCAGGAGATTTTGGAGCACTTCATGCTTCCTTCTGCAGACTTCATTTTCCAGCAGGACGTGGCACCTGCCCACACTGCCAAAAGCACCAAAGCCTGGTTCAATGACCATGGGATTACTGTGCTTGATTGGCCAGCAAACTCGCCTGACCTGAACCTCATAGAGAATATATGGGGCATTGCCAATAGAAAGATGAGAGACATGAGACTGAACAATGCAGAAGAGCTGATGGCCGCTATTGAAGCATCCTGGTCTTCCATAACACCTCAGCAGTGCCACAGGCTGATAGCTTCCATGCCACGCCGCATTGAGGCAGTAATTGCTGCAAAAAGGGCCCAAACCAAGTACTGAGTCCATATGAATGTTTATACTTTTCAGAGGTCCGATATTGTTCTATGTACACTCCTTGTTTTATTGATTGCATGTACTATTCTAATTTACTGAGATTGTGGATTTGGGGTTTTCATGAGCTATAAGCCATAATCATCGCACTTATGACAAATCACGGCTTGAACTATCTTGCTTTGCATGTAATGCATCTATCTCATATATTAGTTTCCCCTTTTACGTTGCATTACTGAAATATTTTGCACGATATTCTAATTTTTAGAGTATCACCTGTAAGTGGTTGCGTTATTTACCCACTGATAATAGGTTACTTTGCTTATTTTCCAGTTATCTTTCACACATTTTCTTTTCTTGTGCATTTACACCGGAGACACCGGAGACAACTTGGTAATGTTTCTTAATTTCAAGACCTACTATCAGTTCTTTGGTTCTTCAGGACCCTGTTACAAGCTTGATCAGGTTAGTTACTTGATGGTTTCTGTTATCTTTTCTTGTAATTGTTTTATGCATCAAACAAAGAGGAAATGCTAATGTTGGAAGGACCTTACATTCCCTCCTTTTATTTTTGATGGGATGTTTCTATGTTTGATCTGTGCTGCTGTTTGGAATACTGTAAGAAGAGATTAGCAAACTATTTGCATTATATCACTAAAATTAAGATTATATGGACACTAATGTTACCACAATCTACTATTGTAGATTTCCTAAAAATGTTTCTGTCCTTTAGAACCTTCCAACACAGCTAATGTTCCACTTTTGTTTGTGTGTGATTACAATTCCCATGTGTAAGACTTCATTATTACACAAGATCAGATGATTGGCCTTCCTAGTGGCTATCTAGTGGTTTAGCATGTGATGGATATAAAAAGCCACTTCATCTGTCATATGCATCCAATGGATAGTTGCATCATCCATCCATAAAATCAGATGATATATCTCTTTTAACTCAGCTAAATAGAGCCAGGCAATGTGATATAGACATGAAAAAAAAATGTATATGTTTTCTATCAGTAGAGCAAATTATCATCCTATTAAAAGTTACTCTTTATTGTAAGCTCGGATGATAAATGACTAGGGTTTCTTATACTTTTATCCACATTTGCACTAGTATGGGGTGGTTGTGAGGATATATTTCTCCAGACGGGATATTAAAAACGAGCGTGGATGTCTCCAATCTAGTGCTGTGTAGGCGCTGTTACTGCAGCACTGGGCAAGGTTATAGTTTAAGTATAGTTTCTGATCAAAAGATCTATTTCGATTATATTTCTATACCTCTCGACTGGCTGTCTGCAAGTACTCCTCCCCTTTCTTTATTCCATCTTGCTAACCGAATATTTTCTTTAGACAAGTAGTTGTAGAAAGCAATCTTAAGAGCAGTATCAGTTATAAATCAGTTCTTTGTCCTTCAATGTTTTTTGTTTTGTTTTTTAAATCTGACCTTGTGTCAACTACAATGCCAAGTTATATTGCTAGATCTTGCAACATTTTATATAACAGCTGAATATATTCTGCCAGTTACTAGGTTATGATACAATGTTAGACTTTGTTTAAATTTTGCAGACTTTGACGGTTTAAAGAGATATCAAATCTCCACACTTTTCTAATTTTAATTTTGTGTGTCTTAATTTACACACACTTCTAGTGATGCCCCGAACGGTTCGCCGAACGGTTCGCCGCGGACTCATCATTGAGTAAACTTTGACCCTGTACCTCACAGTCAGCAGACACATTCCAGCCAATCAGCAGCAGACCCTCCATCCCAGGCCCTCCCACCTCCTGGACAGCATCCATTTTACATTCATTGTGAAGCTGCATTCCTAGTGCGCTGTCCAGGAGGTGGGAGGGTCTGGGAGGGAGGGTCTGCTGCTGATTGGCTGGAATGTGTCTGCTGACTGTGAGGTACAGGGTCAAAGTTTACTCAATGAAGAGTCCGTGGTGAACCATTCGGCGAACCGTTCAGCGAACCGTTCGGGACATCACTACACACTTCACATTTTGTCTATTTATAACTAATTTTTGTTTTGCTTTTTGATTGAGGTTTTAGATGTTACCCAATGAATGTGAAGTAGCTTTAAGGCTGTTTATTGAAGTTCTGATCCCTTTTGGGAGTTTACTTTATTTTTAATATATTGTTGAATAGGAATAGGCACTACATTTTGCCCATGTTGACTCTCACATTGCCACTTCATTTTGTGGAGACAAAATACATTATTTCTCAGTTACATAATATTATAGTTGGGTATCCTTGTACAGCATTCCATACACAAAATAGCTTTTCTGTCCAATTTTTATATGTTGATTATATAGCTATGTTTCAAACATTGTTAAAGTATTTCTTAACAAAAATAACTGATCACAATAATATTGTTTACAGTTTCACTATAGTGTCAGGAAAACAAAGCGGTTTTCCTGACACTATAGTGCCCTGAGGGTGCCCCCACCCTCAGGGTCCCCCTCCTGTGGTGCTGAAGGGGTTAAAACCCTTTCAATTACTTGCCTTATTCCAGCGCCGGGCTCCCTTGGCGCTGGTGAACTCTCTTCCCCCGCCGACATCAGCTCCCCCGTCCAACGTCAGGGGAACCAAATGCGCATTCAAAGTGTCCATAGGAAAGCATTTCTCAATGCTTTCCTATGGATGCTCTGCGCGATGGAGGCATAATATGCCTCCAGCGTCGCAGATGCGCCTCTAGTGGCTGTCCGGAAGACAGCCACTAGAGGCTGGCTTAACCCAAATGTAAACATAGCAGTTTCTCTGAAACTGCTATGTTTGCATCTGAAGGGTTAAAGCCTGAGGGACCTGGCACCCAGACCACTTCATTGAGCTGAAGTGGTCTGGGTGACTAGAGTGTCCCTTTAAGTTCTCTCACCTTCAGTTTCAAAATATTAAGACTTTTTTGTATTCTTGCAATTAAATACTTTGAAATTAAAAAATAATTAGTATTTCCATACTCTAGCTGTCTCAGATTGTACATTATACCAGTCTCACAAAGCTATAATGGCATCATGTACGAATACAAATAACACTTTGATAAATTTGTTTATTGTACCTGCCCCCACATTTTTGGATTTATAAGAGCTATGCATTTGGGACATTCATAAATGATCTATTTTGCGATTTACCGTACTTTGCTGACAGTACTTCATTTGTCTTCTAAAATGAATTAAATTGAATTCTTCTTGTGAGAATTCTCTTAGTCATAAATCTAGGTCTCCTGGCTTGTGAACCCTGACTGCTATTTATAACCAATGTAAAAAGGAACTGTCACTTTCAGAAAAGTTGTGCAGTTCTGTGTTCCTGCAGTCCACTAAATTCTAATTCACATTGCTGGTATGAATAATGCAGAAAAGGTATGTAAAATAGTACTGTGACTGCACTTCTGCGCTGCGTCGCTTCCACAATCCCATGATGCCTCTGGCATGTACATAAGCATCTAACAGAGAAAGTTTCCTTACACGCAGATGTTACGTGCGAATGGCACTGCAAAATTTAAGTAATTTGCATATTTCCTGGTTTTGACTGGCAAATGATATAAGTATATAAATAAAAGGTAGAAAACAAATGTATTACAATACATTTTAAAAAAAACACACAACTAATGACTCTTTAACACTAAACTTTTAAAAATAAATGTGATCAAACCGGACACAATAATAAATTTGTCAATTAAAGTTGATAAAAATGTTAACAGCAGCATCCCGGGTAATTATGAATTATCTGGGATAATCAATTGGTAGTATTAGATTATCTACTAGATACAGGAATCTAGCATTTCCTGTGTCCATTAGATCATATTATACTACAAATCTTCAAAATAAAATAACTAACCCATATAAATGTATACACTCATATGTAGTGTTATATTAACTGTTCAAGTTATCTCTTTTTAATAAAATGGTTGGACCATTGATGGTTTAAAAGCTGCATTTCAGCATTTTGCTTGCATTCTGAATGGGTAAACGCTGTTTATGCTTTACTGATACACTGATCAGCTACAACATTAAAAATACTGACAGGTGAAGTGAATAACATTGATAATATTGTTACAATGGCACCTGTCACGGACTGGAATTAATTATAATTAGTTAGCAGCAAGTGAACCGTCAGTTCCTGAATTTCATGTGTTGGAAGCAGAAAAAGCCTGAGTGACTTTGGCAAGGGCCAAATAATTATGGCAGATGACTGGGTCAGAGTATCTCAAAAACAGTAAGTCTTGTGGGTTGTTCTTGGTGGTTAGTACCTACCAAAAGTGGTACAAGGAAGGACAACCGGTGTCAGGGTGATTGGTGCCCAAGGCTCATTGATGCAAGTGGGGAGTGAAGGCTAGCCCATCTGGTTTGATTACACATAAGAGCTACTGTAGCTCAAATTGCTGAAAAATTTAATGCTGACCATGATAGAAAGATGTCAGAACACACAATGCAGTGCAGTTTCCTGCGTATGGGGCTTTGTAGCTACAGACCGGTCAGAGTGCCCATGATGACTCATGGCCACTGGTGAAAGCACTTTCTAAGGAGATGTGAACATCAGAAGTGAACCATGGAGCAATGGAAGAAGGTTGCCTTGTGTCACGGCACACAGGGAGGATTCGGTGTGTCCTACTCACTCCCTGGACACTCCGGGAGTGAGAGACACACTCCACCTACCTTCCGGTCTCCACCACTCCGTGGTAGCGCGCTGTGAACACAAGGCACGCCGCCCCACTCTGGTTTCCCTGAGCTCCACGACCACACCACATGGGTTGCGGCATACAGGGGAAGGGACACAGACTCTACCTGTCTGCTAGCGTACCGACCAAGTAATATATGTTCCATGACCACCACACTGCCCCAGGATCCCCTCAGGCTGACAGAACCCTGTGGGACCCATGCTGGTTTACCTGGAAGCAGTGTGGGGATCAATGGCTTTCAGCTAAAAACGGACATAGAGGTGTTGACACCCAGTTACCCAGAGGGGCTCTCCACCTGTATAGGCCCTTACACCCTCCTCATTTCCTTTCCCCGATTTAAGCACAGACCACCATAGGGTCTGTGCTCAGTTGTTTTGTTGTTTGACCAACTCCTGCAACGCTGTCCCAGCTTGGATTTATTTCCTGCAATCCAACTACAGCTTCAATCAAGTCTATCTTCATTTACCAAGTGCTGGAACTTTGGTAAAAGGACTTTATTTTCCTTAACGACTTTTTTTATTATGAAGGAATTACTTTGTTTACTGTTTATACATGCATTGGGACTTGAATCATAATTTGTTTTTCAAAAATAAAAACCTTTTAATTTGACTGTGCCCGTAAAAATATCTGCATACCGAGCCCATTCACCCCAAACCCATGATACCTTGTTGGATGAATCACGGTATCTTTTAGATCATGTGTACTACCAGGTGCATGTGCGTTGTTTAGTTGTTGAAGAGATGGCCGTATGCCGGTGGAGGCAATAAAAGGAGTCAGAAAGAACACAGGCCAGAGGCAGTTAGGAAAACATTGGTTTATGGCATCATGTTACTTTGACATGTACCACGTATCGAGAGATTATTGCAGACCTTCATGCAATGGTGTTTCCTGATAGCAGTAGCCTCTTTCAGCAGGATAATGCACCTTGCAAAAATTCTTCAGGAATGATTTGACTGAGTTCAAGGTGTGGCCTTGGCCTCCATATTCCCCAGATCTCAATCTGATTGAACATCTGTAGGATGTGCCAAGGGCATCAGAGCTGTTATGGCAGCATGAGGAGGACCACATGATATTTGGTAGGTGGTTTTAATGTTATGGCTGATCAGTATATAGCGCTAGCTTCACTTCTAGTCCCCTTTCAAACCCAGTTACAAAAATAAATATCTGTCCTTTTTCCCACTACAAGTAGTCATAGATGCCACAACAAATAACTCTCCTAGATTGTACAGCGCTACGGAATTTGCTGGCGAAATAGAAATAATAATCCTCAACACAGGTAATGGTCAACAACTGATATTTTTCATCCTTTATCAAGAACAGTCCCATTTAACTCACAATTATACAGAAAGCTCATGATTCAGTACACAGATCATGTGTATGCTTCCAGAAACATTCAGTGTGATCAGTCCTGTGCTTACAAAACATTTTATCCCATAAGTTATGGTACTATATTCCTTTAAAAACAGAACTCTATACCTTGTAACAATGTCAGTCTCAATCTTGGTGGTATAAATATAAGTGGTGCAGATCAATTTCACAGTATCTAAACAGCCAGAACACAAATTTTAAGTGCATTTTACTGGTTTTATATTACTTCTGTAAAACAGACAGGGAGGATAAATGTAATAACTAAGAGAAGGCAGAGGATTTATTTATTTTTGGTCAATTGATATACATTGAAATTCAGTATGGCACCTGTGCCTGTTGTGGCTTAATAGGATAATATAACAAAGTCCTGTATATCATTCCATACATTACAAGGATATATGAATGTGATCTATGTTCCAAATCATGAAATTCACACAAGTCTGTACTATACAACTTACACATAGTTGGATGCCAAGATCAACTTAAGAGATACAAGATGTGTGACTTAGGTGGATATAATGTATTACCACAGCTTTAGTGTAACTAGACCAAGCCAATAATACCTTCACTAGCTGCACTTTGATGACATTACTGGACATCTGAACATACTGTTCTTGTTTTGGAACGTCTATTACCAATAATAATCTCATAATTATCGAGAGGGAGAGAGACGGATCTTACAGTAGGATGTAGTTAAATATGTATAGTAATTCTATGTTTAGCCCAAGTTTCCAATATCTGGAATTATTACTTTATTGATTGATACAATAAAGTGCAATTTTAGAAGTGCGCTTTCTCCATTAACCTCACTAGATATTCATATGTCAATAAAAGAGAAATTTTAAGATTTCCAACAACCCATGCTAAATCAGCATCACAGACATCCCATGGGATACATCTAACTCAAATCCAATTTCAATTTCTGAAGTTGAATGTATTTGATATGAAATGTTGAGCTAAAAGGTAATTTTTGAATGAAACATTTATAAGGGGTAGTGCGCAGGGAAAGGCTTTGACTAGATGTACTCAGATGAAGTTTTGTGAAGCCCTGCTTTATAACATATTTGTTACATTTCAGTTGCAGAAAAATCCATATTAAGAGGAAAAAAATGTTATGTTATTAAAAAAAGCTTGTATTCATAAAGCTATAGAATTGATGAGTCTACAAAAATTCCCTTTTACCTGTAAAATGTATGGTTAACTTGGATCTTATCCAGCAGTTAGAAGGTCCTCTCAGAGTCAGATCATCAATGTAGATGACCACCCAGACAGTCCAATGCTTCAGATAGAGGGGCAGCAATCTCTATGCTGTGCCACCAATGCTTCTGTTCCTTTAAAGAGATTCTGCAATATATCACTACTCCAGTGACAAGCCTGAGCTAATGTATGGATACTTTAAGAGACATGCATGCATGTGTAGCCAATTTCAGTTTCAAAATTAAGCAATTTTGCAGTTTATGCTTCCAATAACTATTAAAAATTAAAAAAAAATATTTAAAAACATTTCTGAATCTGATATATTGTGATTTCACCAAATCAGGATGTAACTGTCAGTTATGAAGTTTACATATTGCTGAGCTTCCCACGTAGGCACTGTTTTATTGGTCCCAGAAGGGTTCATGTGAGTTGTATTTCAATTACTCTAACTGGAATGCTAACAGATGAACATCGACTCCCAAAAACCTAAGCCATGGCATTATTGTACAAGCATAAAGGACACAGTTAATGTTGTGACTGAGGGTCAGAAAGAATGGGCTTATTTAAAAGACCACTATAGTGCCAGGAAAACATACTCGTTTTCCTGGCACTATGGTGCCCCCACCCTCACGGTCCCCCTCCCGCCCGGCTCTGGAAAGGGGTTTAAACTTACCTTTTTCCAGCGCTGGGCGGGGAGCTCTCCTCCTTGTCTCCTCCTCCGATCCTCCCCGCCGGCTCAATGAGACAGCCACTAGAGGGAATGGGGGAAGGCTTAACCCATTCATAAACATAGCAGTTTCTCTGAATCAATTTCACAGTATGAAACTGCTATGTTTATTAAAAAATGGGTTAACCCTAGAAGGACCAGGCACCCAGACCACTTCATTAAGCTGAAGTGGTCTGGGTGCCTAGAGTGGTCCTTTAAATAAAAAAAATTCCAGGACTAAAAAAACAAAAAACAAACAAGAAATAAAAACACCCAACATTACGAACTGTAACTTAACTTAGACTCTTGTAGAATTAGAAAAAGCATAGTAGCAATTAACATGATTACAAAACAGTGAGAGGTAATCTTTAAATATTGTAAACTAAATTAAAATTATCTTGAATTAAACTAGTCTTAGCAGTTGAAAAAAAAAAAAAAAAGACATTCTAGTGTTATTTTAATAAAGCTTCAGGAATCTTTAAGATGTATTTTTTTATTAGTTACATTTCTATATATCAAAATAAATACGTAGGAAGGCGATTACTAGAAAACAAATAAATAAAAGCAAAACAAAACCATATAAAGGAATCATTCCATGGTAGCACTTACACCGACTCGTACCAAGTCTAAAAGTCACCTTGGCTGAAAAGTTAAAATAGCTATGATCATTCATGTATTAGTGGTTCTCAACCTTGGTTTTTTTAGTCAGGGACTCAAATAATGTACATAGCATTAACTTGGAAACATTCTTTAAAGGGAAACAAAGCACCAAAATCACCATCTAAATAAACGTTTTGTTGCTTAGATACTGCAGTTTTTAATCTGAAAATGACATTTCTGAGGGCAATGTTTACATTTGTTAGAGAACATTTGTGTCTTTCTATTGTCTGTCAATCTGACCTTCACAAGAACTTACTCATTTCACAAATTTCCAAAGGTCTTCACATTTGGCATCATCAATGATTCCTTTGCTTCTCATAGAGAAGAATTGGATTCATTTTTTTAAAAAAAGTTCTAGTACTTGTGGGCCTGTTCTGACTTCCCGCCTTTTGAAATGTGGAGGAAAGAGAATGGACTGCTGTGCATGTACTTACATTTCTCTAAGAAAAGCATCACATTTGATGTCATCATAAGTGAGGACTTCTCCAGAGGCTTCCTGACAGTGGCTCCTAATTCCATATGCAGCCATTTTAGTGTGTATTTAGTAATCAAGTTGTTTCTTCTAAAATATTACTGAGAACCTGAGACCAAAATAAATTGAGTGGTTAATGCTCCATCTGTACTCATAGAAGGGCATCTCTGCTGTATCACCATTATGGTTATTAAATTTTCCGATGCACACATCTGCATTAAAAATTGAATGGGGTGCTGCGACTTTTGTAGTAGTGTTCAGAATTTTGTGATAGGTATGTTGCCTCTAAAAAAATACCTCAAATGGCTGAATTAGTTGAAGAAAAAAAAAAGGAATCATAATAAGCAGCAATTTTATTCTATGGTGGTTAATGCAAGGATATCTTTTTGTAAGAGGTTCATTGTAGTATATCTGGGAGCTTAACTTGGAACACACAACTGACAGTCACATGGTGTGAGAGCTTCCGTGCAATAGAGCCTAACAGCGTATATCCACAGCCACTAGATGCCTAATGCTCACCGCAGCCCTGGTGTGTTATCCCTTGAGTGCATGTATGGACCTTCTAAACACCAAAAAGCTGTGGATGAAGTCAAACTGCCAATGACCACAAGGAACAAGATTGCGGTTACTCCACCCTTCCATCTCCTGGCTCAGACACCCACGGTGGAATAATATCAGGCAGAGAGGGATACTGGAATCAGTGGGCTGGCAGACTTATTGGCCCACATAACTTTTTTTCAAAGTTTTCCTCCCATGAATGGCAGATCTTGGATAGAGCACACAGGCTGCCAAAGCTGAAAGGACTGCTGTCCTTACAGTATTAAGGACTAGCTGCTATTTAAAAATAAATAAAATATACCCTATTGTTGGTGGTTCCCCACATGGCTCCTAATATAACAGCGCACAGGCTACCGTATAGATGGCCTACAGCCGTTCAGGGACTGGTGCCTCATTGCAACGCCACCTAACCGTTTGACTGGGACCTCTCCTCCATCCAAGGTTCTAACCACCTGGATGGTGGGCACATCTTGTTGAGATTCACGTGAGGATACAGTCAAGGAGTTGTGCAGCACAGAAAATAGGTAGGCCTAAGGTTTTGATTGATTTGGGGCAGTTTATTTAATGTATATTAGTCAAAATAACATCTACTGATAATAGCATGATGCCGGTTACCACAAATCCCTGGAAGGAGTTTCTCCATTATTGTATTTTTAAGAGGGGATACTGAGCAACATAGTAAGTATGGATAATGAGCCAACCAAAAATCAGTTTGCTTACCTAAAAGGTTATGTAGAGGTAGTTGAATAGTGGGAATGTTATCATTCTAAGTAATTGCTGAGAACTGTGAATATCATTAAAACACAGAAATGTCTTCAACTATTTTTCTATATATAGAAGATGAACTTACATTTATTAAATTAGAACAGAGTTTGACCTTACATGTGTGTCTGATTCTGTTCTCCGAGCGTTCGTAGGCGGAGATCATGTTTCCCCTGGTTTGTTTAGCTGATCAAACGTAATTGGTAGTCCCCTGTGAGAAGATGCACCTACAGAATATTTTTAATTTTGTTTTGTATTTTCCCAGATACCATGGTTATTTATGGTACAATGTAGTATATACCCACATTTCGTGATTTTTTTTTTTTTTTTTAAATAAAAGAGTGAATCAGGACAACCACCTTTTTTTTCTCCCAACTTTTCTGTTTCGGCTTAAATTGAGAGTTTCAATGCATTAATGAAGATTAAAATGAAATAAAAAAATTCAGTAAAAACGTTTGGCGACATTTACTAAACATTTTTTTTTTTTTTTAAAGTGCAATCTCAACACTTTTTGCTGCCAACCAATTTTACATTTCCTATTCAATATAATTATGATAAAATTATTTGCATATTTATGCAGGATGCGATTCCCTTAAATAAACCAGTGTGATTAATAAGTTTGCCTTTTTTTAGTTAGATAATTGTATCTCTCTAAAATGCTGTGTAATTACGTCCTGTTTACAAACATACACTTCAAGGAGAGTATATTAAAAATTGGTAGGTCACCTAAACCAGTGCATGTCAGTAAACCAGCAGGCAAACAGCATTATTGTGTGCTCACATAATGTAGCTTCGTGTTGGCACCTTTTGTTGGCACAAGCATCCTTTGTCTATTTAAACTCCAGACGGTAGGACTTTGAAGATAGCCACAGCAATAAAGGGATGTTTTAGTTAAGGAAGTACATATATAAGAATGGCATTCTTTGAAAGCATGCGTCTGCTTCAGCATTCATGCGGAGAGATATTACTGGATTGTCCATTCGTCATTTGAATGCTGGACAGAGTGAATTCCATGTCCTCTGGGTACTGAAGCTTTAATTCTTCATTCCCAATGTAGTGAGTGCTTGAGAACTCGGAGAAGTAGAGACCAATGTCAGGATGCATAATTTCCTTTGGGGAGGGATGTAGTTCCAAGTTCTCTAAGGC